ATCGCCGGAGCCCAGCAGGTCGAGGCTGCGGTGGCCATGAGTGTGCCACTGCACTCCAGCTTGAATGACAAAGTGAGACTCCGACTCAACAAAAAAAAAATCATTACATTAACCACTGTAACCACATGCCTTACAAACATGCATTATACGAGTAACATTTTCATGATTATATGTACAAGTAAAAAGTATGCACTGTATAGCAAACCCAAGATATATGAAAACTGAATAGGACAGTAATTTAAATTGTTCACATAAATTTCCTACACTCAATTCATCGTCTTGCTAATGTTCTCAATTTGGCATCTTATTTGAGCTCACTTTTGGATGCAGAACAATGTCTCTATTCCACTACTTGCTTGTGAGAGGTAACATTTCTTCCTTATGTGTCTTAGAATCTTTATTCCTAATTTGTAAACAAAAAGAATGAAATTCTTTTTGAGTTGGAGTCTCACTCTGTCGCCCAGACTGGAGTGCAGTGGCCGCTCCCGGCCACCGCAGCCTCGACCTGCTGGGCTCCGGCGATCCTTCTGCCTCAGCCTTCCGAGTGGCCAGAACTACAGGCATGTGCTCCCACGCCCGGCTGATTTTTTTTGATTTATTGTAGAGATGAGGTCTCGCTGCCCAGGCGGGTCTCGAACCCATGGGCTCAGGCAATCTACTCACCTCAGCCTCCCAAAGGCGCGGGATTACAGGCTGAGCCACTGAGCCTCGCTAAGAATTTCATTCTTAACATCAGGCTCTGAAATTTGTTTTTAGTTAGCATTCACTATAGTGACAGCTGGTTTGAGAAGCACATATTTTAGCATAAGAAAAAAGGAAACAACAGACTTCAGATTGTTTTAAAATATGGGACCGGCATGGTGACTCTTGCCTGTAATCCCAGCACTTTGGCAGGCCTAGGTGAGAGAATTGCTTGAGCCTAGGAGTTCAAGACTACCTGGGCAACAGGGTGAGACCTTGTCTCTACAATAAAAATTATATGAGTGTGGTGGTGAGCATCTATAATTCCAGCTACCTGGAAGCTGAGACACAAGGATCGCCTGAACCCAGCAAGTTGAGGCTGTGGTAGCATGATCGTGCCACTGCACTCCAGCCTGCAGTCCTGACTTCCAGTCAGAGTGAAACCCTGACTCAAAAAAAAAAAAAAAACAACACTTTGGGCTTTGGGAGGCTGAGGCGAGAAGACTGCCTGAGCCCACGGGTTCAAGACCAGCCTGGGTAACATGGTGAGACCTCATCTCTACAATAAATCAGGAAAAATTAGCTGGGTGTGGTGGCGCATGCCTGTAATTCCAACTACTTGTAAGATTGAGGTGGAAGGATCGCCTGAGCCCAGCAGGTTGAAACTATGGTGGCCATTAGTGTGCCACTGTACTCCAGCCTGGGTGACAGAAACTCTGACTCAAAAAAAAAAAAAGATTCAGAGAAGTATAATGTTATCGATCTTCAATAGTAACAGCAAACATATTAAATAATCTTTACATACTTAACATTTAAGACACTCATACCTTGTAGTATTTTTATCCCAATTTTACCAGTGAGGAAAGAGACACTGTGAGGTTAATAACTATCAGAACTCAGATTCACATTCTAAAAGTCAGACCACAGAGTCTGTGTTAATTTCACCAAAAACATCTCCCAAATTAAACCATTTTGAACCTACCTGCTTCTCTTAGTAATGAATGATAAATCCTTTATCAATTCATATGCCTCAGTCTCATTATTAATAGCTGTATCCTATACATAGCAGATATAATGTATTTTATCTATCCTCTATTGTAAGATTTTCATTTTTAAAAATCACTCTCTGGGCAGGGCTCGGTGGCTCAGCCTGTAATCCCAGCACTTTGGGAGGCTGAGGTAAGTGAATTGCCTGAGCCTGCAGGTTTAAGAACCACCTGGGCAACATGGCGAGATCTCATCTCTACAATAAATCAAAAATTAGCCGGGTGTGGTAGCGCGCGCCTGTAGTTCCAGCTACTTGGAAGGCTGAGGCGGAAGGATCGCCGGAGCCTAGCAGGTCGAGGCTGCGGTGGCCGGGAGTGTGCCACTGCACTCTGGTCTGGGCGATTGAGTGAGACTCCAACTCAAAAAAAAAAAAAATTATTCTCTGGACATTTGTGTAACACTAATAGATTATATCCATATGAATGTTCTAGTTATGATATTATTAGATGTGCTATAATCACCAGCTGGGGTGACCGGGTGAAAGGCACACAGGATCGCTCAGAATTATTTATACAACTACACATGAATCTACAATTCTACCAGTTTAAAAAGAAAACTTTTCACAGAAAAAAAAATCATTCTCCGACCATACTTGGGCATATGTATATGTGTGTACTACTTTAGCTGTTTCCTTTGGGTAGATTCCAAAAAGTGGAATTTGGAGTCAAAATCAGACGTTTGTTGAGTCCTGCAACATGCCAGACCCTGTGGATATTAGGACTCCGTGAGAGTCTGACTGAGGGGACGCAACTGCCACCTGTATGTTGTCTATAATCCAGCAAGGAGGGGAAACTGACTAGAAGTGCAAGGTGGCTTGTGACCCAGGCCTGTGGACATGCCAAGTGACTTGCCCCTGGAGGCAATCAAAAGGGGACATCACAGGCCGGGCTCGGTGGCTCAGCCTGTAATCCCAGCACTTTGGGAGGCCGAGGTAAGTGAATTGTCTGAGCATGCGGGTTCGAGACCCGCCTAGGCAACTTGGCAAGACCTCATCTCTACAATAAAATCAAAAAAATCAACCGGGCATGGTAGTGCGTGCCTGTAGTTCCAGATACTTGGAAGGCTGAGGCGGAAGGATCGCTGGAGCCCAGCAGGTCCAGGCTGCGGTGGTGGGGAGCGGCCACTGCACCCCAATCTGGGCGACAGAGTGAGACTCCAACTCAAAAAAAAGGGGGGGGGAACATCACGCTAAGGACAGCTGTGTCCTGACCAGCACCACCCTATCCAGAGGCTGGTCGAGGTCATTGGCCATCTTCCCCCAGAGCAGGATGCGCTCAGAGGGAGGCATCCCGCCTTGGGCACCGTCTCGGACCTGCTGGAGGGCCCTGCCTGGAGAACCTTCTGGACTACATTTCCCAGGGTCTCCGGGATACCCCGTGTGGAACCCGAGCTGCATGCTGGGACCCACGGTGTCTCGAGTTCTGGTTTCCTGGGACACCGACCGCGTCCTCTCATCCCTCACGCTGCTCCCGACATCCCCGCGGTACCCGCTCGAAGCTGGGACTGTTTGCGTTCCAGGTGGAGCCCAGGGGTACGGTGAGGGGCCACCCCAGGTGAGGGGCCACCCCAGGTGAGGACACCAAACAGCCTCCACCTGCGGCCTCGCGGAGAACAAGGAGGGCAGGGGTGTGGGAACGCGCGGGAGTGTGTGGCCACGCGCCAGG